TTTTAGAGATGTAGGATACAGTAGTAATAATATAAGAAACGAGGTAGGGATCATTTTGATAGAATATGAGGAAAAGGCAGATAGGTGGAAAGAATATTTAGAGAACCTATATGCGGGCCATGAAGTAGGAGATGTATTAGAGAAAGAGTATAGTGTGGATATAGATGAGCTAGGTTATCCCATAATGAGAGAAGAGTTCAATGTAGCATTAAAAAATTTAAAGAATAATAAGACGCCAGTTGTAGATGTAGATCAGTGCCTGCGTTTAACTGTGAAACTCATTGTTTCATTTGTGGTGTGATAATTTCGGATGACTTCATTACCACACAAGCAAGACGTCCTGTAAAAGAACACAATACCGTGTATACTGTGCGTCACCTAGGATTAAGAACGACAGTTCTAAACGCAGCAAGATTTCGCGACAATGATTATGGACGTGATGTGATTAAAAATATAGTCAGTGGATGATTTGGCTGAATATCACAACATTAAGTGCTTTAAGAATCTCTATAGACGGCCAAGAGTTGAACAACCGAAGAAAAAAGGACGTGTACCATTTGTGTAGGAAATTGACGCAGTGTATATTCGACTATCTTGAGAACGACGACGATGAGTGCCAATTCTCCCTGGAAGATGGAGCACATTATAGGGCCTTATAAACCTGGACAGAAAACAGTTAAGGCTCGCCTCATTGAGAAATACGGAAACAATATACTGCTCACCACAAGTCAGAATAATAAATTTTTTATGTGTTTAGGAAAATAGGAGAAAAAAATATTAAATGATACGTGGTATGAACAAAAATGCAAATCTGAGCAAGATGAAAGACTTAGAGTTGTTGAAAGTGCAGCAAACATTATTTGTGAAGATATAAGATCATAAGTATATGAAACCGAAGAGTATCCCCCACCAGATCGTTTTCTGGAAAGAGTGAACTTGTTATTCCTGAAACTCTTCGCTATTTTCTGGAAACTCCGATAACACACAGAAAAGAAAATGAAAACCGGAAAAAGAAGTGCATTGCTTTTGCTCACAATGTGATCTCTGCTACGAGGTCCAAATAATTTGTGTCGACTGGATCTCGAAAGTTGCTGGAAGTTTTGCATTTCTTGAGGTTTTGTTGCTCTTACTTGGAAGCTGTATACTTTCAAAATAGTCTCAGCGATGCAGTCACCAAAAAGAAAAAATAAATCGAAGTGAGTTTTCTCAGTATATTTATGACAACGTGGATTTTAACACCCAAATCCTTGTAAGCGCAGCAGCTGCAGTACTGTAGATAAAAGAATCCCAAGATTGAAAGAAGGGCCACCTTCTGCGACTGTTGGAAGTTTTGGGGCAGTAGTTGTCAAACACTTTGAACCTAAAGCGAGTGGTCACGGTCTTAACGCAATTACGATCAACAATGTAACAGGTAATTTCTCAGAAAATGTCTCCCTATTTACATCTGAGTACAGTAAGCATAAAGACTTCTTGAGGTTTCCCGGCTGGAATATGTTCATGGAGCAAGTTAATGGTGACCTCCCTTTAAACTAACGTTTACCGCTTATCTGCCTTTCATACTTGCTCTTCCCACGGATTATGACACAATTTACACAGCATCACTAAAAGCGACTGAAAATTGTCAAGCACAGGGCCAGGTGTGCATGGTGACGTTTGATCAAGACCTATATTTGAAAGCCCGATATATCATCGCTAATTGCACAGACTCCAGGCTGCAGAATGTTGTTTTAAGATTGGGTGGTTTACTTCCATTTACTAATGTTCTTCTTAGGATCTATTGGGTATGTAATGGAGTGTAGTAGCGTCAAGGATTCAATTGAAAAAATGATATCTGGAAATTCTTACTTTAGGGCTGTGAGGGCTCATTTATTAGCTCATGTAGTTCAAAGACAGAACAGGATCTGGAAACCATGCTGTACAATTTTGACAAACTAGCTCTCCACTCAATGAGTCTCGTGATATCAAAGAAAAGGTGATCAAGACACTTCAAAAGAATGTGGTGCCACAGCACAGCTGTGGGTTCAATACATACACTTGGTAAATTTTGTGAAGACGTTCACTTCATGTGAGAGAATGGTCAAATGGGACATGCACCTAAATACCGTGTGATATATGCTGCCATATTTTCACGCGTCAGATCACTTTGCCTACGCTAAATGCGTACACTTGTATGTACAAAATATGCTAAACTTAAAACAAATAATGCCCGCAGAAGAATATGAAAAATTTACCGATGAAGGCTTCTCTACGATTCGACGGGCCTCAAAATTCTGGTGTGGAACATGGACAGACATGGCAATCGAGCAGTTTCTTATGAGGAATATGAAACTTCAAGGTAGACTTACCCATGGTCGAGGAGTAGGGGTATTAGCGAGATGGACTATGGGAATGACGTCAGTGCAGAACAGATACAAAATTTCTGTGTATTTTCACTTTGCACCTCTGAAGCATTCAGCAGTTTTACGAGATAAGAAGAATGTGACCAAGATGTATGAATGGTTACTGCACAAACATCATTTTCCCCACAATCCCAAGTTATACTCACTCAGTACAGGTATGGTGGCTGACAAACGTATCAACTGCCATAAGGCCAGAGAATTGGGCGTCAAAAGTATCAACAGGATTGTTGGTAGTAACTTTTCGAACAGTTCATTTTAAACGAACTGATAGGGTTAAACCACTTGCAGTCATAAGGAGCGCGATAATAATTGAGAATGAGCTTATACCGATTAATCCAACGACCTTATTTCAACGTATTTCGGTCGCGAAGCATTCGAATGAAAATCTCAGACATTTTTTGTCCTTTGATTTAGGTCCGTACTCTTTGTTTCTATTCGACAAAAGACGTATGAGAAAAGTGACCAAATCCACACAATACAAAGGTCTCAAGCCTCTGACAAACAAGCAATTCACAGGTCAAGTGCAATATGTCACTGATGGCGGATTTCTAATGTAGTAGATAATAAAGTAATAAAAAAGCTACAAATTTCCCTTTTTTAAAATGTCGAAATAGATCTTTCAGAAATTAAATGAGAGAACATTAAAACGAAGTTTCAAGTAAATCTGACTACAAATAATATATGTTTTAAACACTGCAACTCCTCTTCACCACTCATCCCCCCCAACAGAGATTGAATTTTTTAACCAGTTTCAAGTAAATCGGACCCCTTTCAGCTTCCTAAAGAGGTAGAATTTTGTAAAATGTTGAAATAGATATGTATGGCACTAATTTTATATGGAAAAGCATTAAAACCAAGTTTTAGGTAAATCTGACTATAAATAAAAAACCATACTTAACCGTAGACAACATTACGTTTAGCTGTTAGTTGCGTTTTGTTATACCATTTTTAACAAATGAACGGCTAGACTGATGATTTGATTTATAAATTTTTCGTTTAGCTGTCATTTGCGTTTTGTCATTCCATGTCAGTTGCGTTTACATATACCACGTTTTTCCGGTGAAACGTGATAAAAAGTATCCTACGTCCTTCTCCCGGTTGTAAGCTACCTCCGTACCAATTTTCAGCCAAATCGGTTCGGCCGTTCTTGAGTTACAAATGGTGTAACTAAGACGACTTTCTTTTATATATATAGATACAGTTAAATGTTGTAATTAGATGTTGTAACTAGATATTAATCTTACCTGTAAATAACAAAGAAACAACGTTCAATGTTACTATTCACAATGTTCTTTTTAGATTACTTTTATATTATTTCGTTGTGTTTGACGTGACTTAATCAATCATACTCATAGCCAACGACTTACCCACCTGATTAGGGCAATTCAATAAGACTTAGGATATTAGCCTTACATATGTACCAAACATTATCATAAATACATACAAGTACTAAATATTTGAGAGTTTGATTCATAATTTTAAAAACAAAACTTGGACGTGATTGCAGTTCGTAAGAACCTCTCCCCCCGCAATTTTTTAATAAATAAGAATAAGGAAAAGTTAAATGGTGCGCAGCTTTTAATTGTGCAAGAAGATACTCCACGCGGGACGGACTTCTAAATTTTCATGTCACTATTGGTGTACTTAAAGATTACCGTTGCAACTGCAAATGAAAACGTGCCGAATGACGGACATGTTTGGGCAACTCAGATACTATTTCGTTAACGTCTTGAAACCTGTCTTCTACCACGGGATTCTAATTTTTGTAGTGAGTCTATGTGTGTAGGTATGTTTAGCAGGGTTATTCCAGAACCCAATAAATGCTGCGTGCTATCAGCAATGAACAAATGTACTTTTTAATTCATTGTTATGGTAATTATAAGCCTAACATTAAGTGTAGTAGTAAATTGTTTGTTTGTCTTAAACGTTCGATAAAAGCTACTGTTTACGATCCATGGACGTAACTGCAGAGTTTTCATTCTAGTTCGCAATTTTCGCACATCTACTTTATCAATTCCAGATATGTAATGTTCATATATGGACAGTTAATATAGGTATAGATGACACCTTTTCCATGCTGCGTATCCTTGAGAAATCTTTAAAATAAAGGCTGGGGGGTCGAAGCACACTAGACAGTATCTGTTTCTCTTTGTCGACACAGCTTCCATTTACAGAAACTGTTTATATAGGTATAAAATACTACAAATTGCGAGGTAAACGCCATCTGTAGTATTTGTTTGTTTGTTTATATAGGTGTATTACATATATGCTCAATTCACGCGCAAGACCGGCTTTGAATTGTAAATTAGTGTTTTTCCTAAAAAAAATTTTGCCCCTATCCACGATCCACACTTATTTGTTACGCCCTGTACATCTTCTTGCTATTAAATTTTTAGTAGATGACTTCTAAGTTGATTGTTAATTATACGCTAAAGAAAATTGAAAATAGAAATCACATCTTGATTGCTTGAATTTCTGGATAGTTTATTCATAAAAGAAAATGCCGAAATTATTAGATAATTGAATGCTTACTTATAAAACGATACGGAGAAATTTTTGATAAATTCCCTATAAGAAGAAACCATCTTTTAATTATTATGCTATATATTATAAAAAACTTACCACCCTAAACACAATTACAGCATACAAATGTAAGTATTCCACGAAAACTTGTTTTTCTCACATTCCCTTTTAATGTTTTCTTACCTTTTCTAGTATAATGTATCGCCTACAGTATTAGTTTCAAATGGTTACGAATAGACGTGGTGTAGTTTATGTGCATACCTCCGACATAAACAAAGTAGCAGCAATAACAAACAGCCATTTTGGGTTAAAAAAATAATGTTTTATTCAATAGTTGTGGAATTTTACATTGGATGAAAAAATATTCCTTTTAATTCAGTATCACATACCTTTTTTACTTCATCTGAAAATAAAAGTAAGAGTGTATCAGAAAAACGTTATGATTTGGAATTAATTCAACAATGTTACAAGATAAGGAAGGTTATTCTTAATCAAATTGCAGATAAGTGGGAGATGGATTTCATACTAAAGCAATAAACAGATGATGACAAGCAATTGATAACAAAAAAGTTTAGGAACGATCGGACCACTTCTTAGATGAGTGGAAAATTCTTGTTGGTATCATGCAGTTCGACTCATGGATTAGGCACTAGACTAGGGGTACCCAACCCAAATGATCTTGCGTGTCATTTTGGAAATAGATCCCACAGACATTTTTTTGAACCCATAATTGTAAACTCATTAATAAAACACACAATATTTGTCATATATTCACAAGAATATTGTTTTAAATTCAAAGTTAATTTTCTGTCATAGTTTCAACAGTTAGTTATTGAATATACGGCTATATTTTAATAAATTGATTTTCACTATTTTGGTCATTATAATAATTATCCTCATGATCATCATCATTACAGGATCGTCAGATCTGAAGCTACTTNCCTACTTAAACCAAGTACGAAATGTTTCATTATTTGACTATTGTAATATGTATAAAATATGCTTTAAAAACTTGATTTTTATGCGGAACCGAAAGTGATTTTTTGCAACTGTCACGTTACAGCCTTTTTGTCTCCCCACTGAAAAAATCTTGTTTAAATTTGTATTCAAAAAGTTATCGGCTCAAATTGTGTTTAAAAGAAAATTATGGAAATTGTTTGGGAACGATATTAAAGATGGTAGGCGAAACATTTATTCAAAGAACCAGGCTGTTTTACATGAACGAGACACGGTACTGGCACGAATTTATGTCCCTTACCATTTTTTTTTTGTTTGCAGATGATGTTCTTAAGGAAGCGTTTTCGTTATTTCCAAAGAGAAACCATACATTATTAAATAATCTTTTTAGTTGTTAATCAGTAAGATTAGCTGTTCGTGGCGTATCTTTTGTGTGCATATACGTATAATTGTAAATAGATTTTCCGATATATTTTCATTTCAGAAGGACGGTAATTGCAGAACATATTTCTAGGTAGTCGTTACATACTCAACAATGAGCATAATTACCTTCCCAACAGCTGCATGTAATGGACAGTGTCGTATTCTTTCAATGTTAGAAAATCTTAAAACACGATTCAATTTTCAATTCAATAAAAGTTAGTACCAACAATATTCATGCGAAACACGTGTCCGCTCAAATAAAATTATTTGTTGTAATTAGGGGTGAGTATTCCTTTTAATTTTTAATTAATATTTACCACAGTCTCCTCTTTCTAATTTGAACTATATAAGATTGTATTTTCCATTTTAATTTTACATTGCATTCTCCATTTCTCCTTTCTGGTAACTGTAGTCAAGACTGATCTTAACTTGCCAAGGAACAAATTCGCTATTCAGATACTACAGGTCGAACGATACTATTTAATGTCGCTGTGCCAATCACTATTCTAACATTGTGGTGATTTACGGATATACGAATTAATCCAATCTTGAGATGATGACTTCTTTGGGGGCTTGATGAGGGTAAGTTAACGTGCGCTCCATTAAGTTGGTTGATTTTAATCTTCCGAATGTGATCTATTTCAGCAGGAAATTTTTGTTTTGTTTGAGAAGCGCTCTAGAATTAGGTGACCTATTTTTTCACAACTTCAGCACTTCAGACGTCTACTGTATTTGTTGCAATCTGATCCATTCTCATTCTCAGCCTTCGGAAGTTTGTGCCGCCGCCGCCGCTTTAAACTCTAATAAGCCATGTGACAATGCTTTACTTAAGACGGTTGACAAGATGGTGGAAGTCATATTCTTGAGACTCGGGAATTCCTTGGAGTATATTAAATATCTCTCCTCGCACTGTAATTATTAGTTCTGTTGCTTTTCCTTAACCGGTGCATACGTTTACCTCTATCACTGCTCTAAACTGCATCAGGTAAAAGGATCATGAGATTTTCCCATCAAAAGTTGATAATGTAAATTTTGCTGTCCTTGCACCGGAATCGTCAGTTCTCACAGTAGTGCATTACTGTAGCTTCTCAACATCTTCATTCATTACTTCCACCTCCTTTTTTATCTCAATTTTTCTTTCTTCTATGTACTTTTCCATTTTGATTTTTATTCTATATTTTTTCCTTTTTGTTTCTTATAGAATACATATTTTCCTCCATTCTCATGTTTATCGCTTCTTGCACGTTCTCTATCAAGAGCAGAGATAATTCTTTTTTTTTTATTATTCAAACGCTTCTCGTAAATACGAAAGAATGTAATTTTCAAGAACAATTTTCGCATTTCTACGCCTGTTACAATTATTTTATTGTGCAAAATAAACCATCTATCTATCACGAATTGATAACTACTATAGTCGCTGGAGCGATTGGAGCATTTATTTCACACCTACAATTGTCTTCCACCATAGTCTCAAATTCTTTGTGCTTTTCGATTTATTAAGTCCGCTCAAATAAAATTATGTGTGGCAATTAGGAGTGAGTATTCCTTTTAATTTTTAATTAATATTTACCACAGTCTCCTCTTTCTACTTTGAATTCTGCTGAGTTTAATATTCTTGTTTTTTGTTTTTATTATTGTGCAAAGTAAAATATTATCCTTTTTTATTTAGTTCGTATTCTATAATTCTTTTTGGGCCAAATTGCCCAAATCGGGCTCCCCTCTGTCCAGTAGTACATGACATTTTCAACATTTTTGGCTTTTGTTATATTCAATGTTTATCGGTATACATTGATTCAAGTCTATTGTTGTTTGGGTATAAGGAATAACTTCTTTCTTTTAGTGTACAATATTATGGATTAGCTTAGTGTAACGTATGTTGTAATCCGATGCTCGACATTCCGAAGTTTTATGGTTGTCCCTAATGTAATTAAGGAACGAAGATCGAGTTTTAATTGCTGAAATTGCTTGCTTTGCAATAATAGCATGAGATTTTGTTTAATATAATAGCATTTGCAGATCGCGATGCCAATGATGTATTTGGTTGTTTATTAATGTTTACGTTTGAGTTTCCTTGCCTTTATAAATTTGAAACCACTCACTTTCGTCGACAAGTTTTTCTCATGAAACTGATTCGGAATGCAATGTGTTTAGTAAGCTAATCTGTATGTAATTAAAGTAACCAAAATTTCGTCACAGCTATTAACGGATATTTCTAAGACTTTTAACGCTTCAGAATTTGTATAAGCATCATCCAATAGCCTTCAGAGAGAATCGACCGTACATTTCCTGATTTCTTGTGAATTCAAAATTTCCTAAACAAGAACCCGTCAATGATTCAGTTGCACGAGCCGCTTAACCCTTCAAAGGATTTCATACAATTTCCCGCATGGGACAAAGACATAATTGACCACACGGCTAATTTTTGTATTGGTACCGATACACAATATCAAAATACATATAGCGAACATTCGAATTCTTATCAATTTGCACAGAAACGGGTCGTAAAGAATTGAAGAAAAAGAGGTGAAGCATTGAAGAATCTAATGCCCTTCCTGGATTAAAATAACATAATGTAATAAGTAGGTAGGTTATTTAAAGGTGGGAAATGGTAATACGTTGGATCTAATAGGCGTTGGAAAAATAACTTTGAAAGCCTATATAACTGCAACACTCTCTGTGCGTTCACAGTTAGTTGTGCATTAGACATGTTATTGATGGGTGTGAATTAGTGGATCATGATGTTTATACTTAGCGAAAATAATGACGATGCAAGTGACAATTTAAATCCTCTTAACATGTACAACATGTCATCAATAAGTACAATAGGGATAGGTGCAATATTTCACGAGTCGGAGCGTGGAATGTTAGAACAATGATGCAAGTAGGAAAATTAGACAATTTAAAAGTAGAGATGGATAGATTAGAATTAGATATAGTAGATATTAGTGAAATTCGTTGGCCCGAAGCTGGAGTGGGGACTTTAGAGTAATACATACAGGATCGGTAGAAGGTAATTCGGGGGTAGGAATTGTAATGCGTAGGAAAGTAGAACAGAGTGTAAAGTTAGTTACAAAAAAGCGATAGGATAGTTATGGTTACATTAAACTCAAAGCCGGTAAAAACGGTATTAGTGCAGGTCTACATACCTACATCATCTTACAGTGATGAAGACGTAGAAGCAGTTTATGCAGATATAAATGTGTTAAGTTTAGTGAAAGGACAGAAAAACTTAATAGTTCTAGAAGATTTCAACGGAGTAATAGGTGAAGGTAGAGTGGGTGCAATAGCAGGTTCTTTTGGATTAGGCAATAGAAATGATAGGGGAGATAGGTTGATAGAATTTTGCGATAAACATAACTTAACCGTCGCGAATACTTTATTCAACCATCACGTTAGGAGGCGCTATACGTGGAAGACACCAGGTGATTTAGGAAGGTATCAGATAGATTACATACTTGTTAGGCAAAGATTTAAAAATCAAGTAAAGGACTGTAGGAGTTATCCAGGAGCAGATATAGATAGCGATCATAACATAGTAGTTATGAAGACCAATCTTAAATTGAAAATTCTGAAAAAGAGGGAAGGTAGGAGACGTTTCGATTTAAAAAAGATAAAATGTAAAGAAACGCGTGATAGGCTAGGTAAAAGGACACACGAAGTATTAAAGGCAGTGGGAGAAACGAATGACGGGGACATAGAGACAGAATGGAACTGCATTAAAACGTGCCTAGTCAGCAGCTACAGATATACTAGGCCTTAAACAAAATGAAAGTACGAAACCCTGGATAACAAATGAGATTGTAGGATTAACAGACGAAAGGCGGAAATACAAAAACGAAGAAGGGCAAAAAATATGTAAAGCTATAAAGTGGGAAATAATTAGGAAGTGTAGGGTAGCTAAGGAACAGTGGATTGATAGGATGTGTAAAGAAGTAGAAGAAAAGTTTGAAGTAGGTAAAACCGATGAGGCGTATAATATAATTAAAGGGAATTTCAGAGATGTAGGGTACAGTAGTAATAGTA